TTGGACACTGGAGTCAGTAAACAGTCCTTGAGCTTGGTTTTTTTTATATTATTAAGGGTTAATAACTTGGATGGAGTTGAGGGGTGTATGGGATGCCCAAGAAAACTGAAAACTTGAGGACAAACTCCTTGGCAACTATGTTTAGATGTGGACAAAAATAGCATCTCCTTTAGGAGCATTCCAGCTCTTTGGTGTACCTCCTCAGACCCCAGATGAATCCTCCTCTTCACCCATCTGCACTGAGGGTATTCCCTGGGCAAGGGGGCCTGGAAGCTGCCAGTTTAGCACAGTAGCCCCGGATGAGAAACTAGTTGGGTTTTCCACCTGACTGCCCTCTTCTCTCTTATCTGGCCCAGGGGGGTGTAGATGTACTTAGACTGTCCTCTCCTGATCGCTTAATAGATTGGTGGCTACCTTCAGGCTTTTGCTGGGCTGGCTCCTTCCCTGCTGCTCAGGATGTCCTCCCTTGGAGATGGTGGTATAGTGGAGATCCTGTTCTCCAGCACCAGCCTGTAAGTAGGTTCCTTCTCTGGGCCCCCTCCCAGGCTCTCAATTCATCTTCCAACCGACACTTCTCCCTTCCTCCCAGGCTTTGCAATACTTAATGGTTGCATTGGTCACCATGCCCAGCCTTGTGCCAAGGGATCGGCCAAGGTCCCTCAAGTATGCAGATCTGAGTTTCTTCCCCTCCTCCAGGAAGCTCTCAGGTTTTGGGAGAGGTGGGAGGGCTCCAGGAGCCCTGATTTTCAGAACCTCCCTAGCCTGTCCTGAGGTGAATTCATGCCTCTCTCACAGGCTGACTCATCCCCAGGCTGCTACTCAGTCTCTGACTGACAAAAAAAAACTGCCTACCTAACCTGGAGGGCGCTACATGAGAATGAATAAAGCAGAAGCATGGAAATCCATGCGCTGAAAGTCCTCTCCAGCAAACAGCAGAATAGTGCAATATCAAATCTCCTTCCAAATCTCATTAGACTAGCAGTGAGAGCGGTACTTTAGCTCATGGAGTCTCCTAAATCGTCAGTACGAGGGCTACATTGTATATTTAACAAGTATTTGCAGGTAAACATAGGTTCCTCCCTTACTACAGGGTCTCCATTAGAGTCCTCCTTACATTAGGGTTCCCAACAGAGTTCCCCTTACATCTGGGTCCTCATCAGTGTCCCCCTCACATCAAAGTCCCCATCACAGTCCCCCCTTATATTGAAGCCCCCACTGGAGTTCCCCTTTACAACAGAGTCCCCATTAGAGTCCATCCTACTACTGTGAGGCTTACAGTTTGGCTGTAGCAGGGGGACAGTAGCCTGGAGTGAAGTTTCATCCCCCCTAAATGCTGGGTCTCCCTTACACACCAATGCCCCCCCCTTCACATCAGAATCCCCCCTACCATCACATCAGGCATCCCTACTTCACATCAGAGTTGTATTTTCATATCAGAAGCCCCCCCCCCCCCATTACTTCAGAAGACCCTTTACATCTGAGTCTGCCTTCACTTCAAAGTTTCCCTTTTACATCAGAATTTCCCCTTCACATCCAAGCCCCCCCCCCCCCCCCCCCCTTCACATCAGAGTCCTCCTCTTCACATGAGAGCCCCTGCCCCTTCACATCAGAGCCCCCCTTGCACATCAGATGCATTCCATTACATTCCTCATACTGAAGCTCCCCCAACACTCCTCACCTTTGACCTTACTACCATCGAGGAAGTCTCCAAGATCCTCTCTGATGCCCGCCTCACCACCTGCCCCCTCGACCCTATCCCTTCACAACTCCTACGACCTCCCTCCCCCTCCATCCTACGCTCCCTCGCCCACATCTTCAATCTCTCCCTCTCCTCAGGCATTTTCCCCTCCCCTCTGAAACATGCACACATCACCCTTATACTTAAAAAGCTCTCCCTGGACCCCAATGACCCGAACAACCTCAGACCCATCTCCCTGCTCCCATTTACATCTAAACTCCTTGAGCGCCTAGTCTACACCCGCCTATGCTCTCACCTCAACGACAACAACCTCCTCGATCCCCTACAGTCCGGCTTCCGTCCCCTACATTCCACCGAAACTGCCTTACTCAAACTCTCCAACGACCTGCTAACCGCCAAAGCTAATGGCCACTATTCAGTGCTCCTACTCCTTGACCTCTCTGCGGCCTTCAACACAGTCGACCACCCCCTCCTCCTCAAAAAACTACACTCCCTCGGCCTCAGAGATTCTGCTCTCTCCTGGCTCTTATCCTACCTGTCACAACGCTCTTTCAGCGTTGCCTATAATACTACCACCTCCCCCTCACTCCCCCTCTCTGTTGGGGTCCCTCAAGGCTCTGTCCTCGGGCCCCTTCTCTTCTCCATCTACACCTCCTCCCTTGGCCAACTCATACACTCTCACGGCTTCAACTACCACCTCTATGCCGACGACACACAAATCTATCTCTCCACCTCCCACCTCACCCCCTCAGTCTCCACCCGAATCACACACCTACTGAGCGACATATCAGACTGGATGTCACTCCACTTCCTTAAACTGAACCTCTCCAAAACCGAGTTTCTTGTCTTCCCCCCCCCCAGCCCGGACACCCCCCCCATTGACTTCTCCATCACATCCAACAACGCCACCATCAAACCTGCCCCGCAGGCCAGAGTACTTGGAGTCATTCTGGACTCCAACCTATCCTTCCAGCCCCAAGTCCAATCTTTAACAAACTCGTGCAGACTCCACCTCTGCAACATGCAGACTCCACCTCCGCAACATCGCCAAAATCTGCACGTTCCTAACCCCAGAAACCACTAAACAGCTCATCCACTCCCTCATCATATCACGACTCGACTACTGCAACTCCCTCCTCACTGGCCTGCCTCGCCGCTGGCTATCCCCGCTCCAGTCCATCCTGAATACGGCTGCCAGACTCATTCACCTTTCCAACCGCTCCGTTTCCACCACCCCCCTCTGCCAATCCCTCCACTGGCCTCCACTCAGTGTCCTCCACCCCCCTCTGCCAATCCCTCCACTGGCCTCCGCTCAGTGTCCTCCACCCCCCTCTGCCAATCCCTCCACTGGCTTCCGATTGCGCAACGGATCAAATTCAAAATCCTAACACTGACGTACAAAGCTGTCCACCATACTGCCCCGAACTACATCACTGACCTAATATCCAAGTACCGCCCAGCACGCACACTCCGCTCCTCACAAGACCTCCTTCTCTCTAGTTCCCTGGTCTCCTCCTCCCATGCCCGCCTCCAGGACTTCTCCAGGGTGTCAACCATCCTCTGGAACTCCCTTCCCCAACCCATCAGACTATCACCTACTCTCCTCTCCTTTAGGCGCACCCTGAAAACCCACCTCTTCAGGGAAGCCTGCCCCACCCCCTGCTAACTTGCCGACCTCCTCCACTCTTCCTACCACTCCGTCCCCCACAGCTATCTCCTCCTGTGCCACCATCCCCTCCCTCCTAGATTGTAAACTCCAAGGAGCAGGGCCCTCGATCCCCTCATGTTTTGCATTGTATTGGTATTGTTCTGTCACATGTTCTGTCCCCCTTTGTAATGTACAGCGCTGAGCGAACCATTGGCACTTTATAAATACTGTATAATAAGAATCAGAGTCCCTGTCACGTACCTGTATAGTGAGCCTGATGTAAAGAGGAAGGCCTGTCATACAGCTCCAGGCTCGAGGGCTATTGGTAATGAAACAGTGGCCGCAGGAGCATGGTGAGGTATGAGTGCCGGAGATCAGTCCAGTAGTCGCAAGTCAGCAGGAAGATGTAGTGGCAGGAAAGGCCAGCGGCAGATGACCTGGCGTGGAGCTAGGCTGGCAGCAGCCTGTGGGTGTAAAGCAGGAATCAGGATCCAGATGTGGACTTGCGAGACTGACGAGCTGCGGCAGACGGGATGAGATGATGCAAGGTCAGACAAGCCGGGTCAGTAACAATCGGGCAGATCAGGCATAGACGGTAGGCAGCAGATGAGTCGGGTCACAGGCCAAGTCAGCAGCAGAGAATCAATCAGACAGGAACAGGAGGCAGAAGAAAAATCGGAAGACATGCAGGGTCAGGGCAGGTAGCAGACAAGCAGAGGTCAGGAACAAGCCGGGTCAGTATTGGAGGTCGGGCACAAGAATCAGGAACAATACACAGAAGCAGGGGCAGACTGACAACTCATGGGGCCCCCGGGCAATAGGGGATCATGGGGCCCCTGTGTCCTTGCCCAAACTCAAAAAAGCCTATGAAAAAGGTACCAGGGGCATCTCATGGGGGCCCCCTACTGACCCCGGGCCCTCGGGTGGTGCCCGAGTTTCCAAATGGTCAGTCCGCCCCTGCACAGAAGCTCAAGACCAAACAGCAATGAGACAATACTGCAATCTGTTTAAATAGCCCGTTTGGCGCCAGCATCAGTGACAGGTACGCGCCTGGATGCGCGAATGTGCGTGCGCCTCTCCACAAGTTCACGCACATTTGCCTGGCCATTTGCTGGACTGAGCATATTTATTCACCGCAAACTTTCACCTGTATTATGGGTAAGCCTTCCCTGACAGTCCCCCTTTTCATCAAGGTATCTATCAGTGCCCCCCCTTACATCAGGGTCCTTATCAGAATCCCCCCCATCAACGATCCAAAGTGAAGACCAGCTGATCTGATATTTTAGGGAAAAAAAACTTTAGACTTTACAACCTCTTCAAATGGTACTTATTGGATATCAAATCTCTACTTTTTCAGTTGCCCACTTTGGGGAACACATGGACGGTGCATGATGGCGGAATTTCTGTGTTGCAGCATGATTGGCTGAAACACTACATTGCCAAAAGTATTGGGCCAGCCCTCCAAATCTTGTGATTCAGGTTTTCCAATCCCCTCCATATCATGTGATTCAGGTGTTCCAATCTCCTCCCAATCATGTGATTCAGGTGTTCCAATCCCCTCCATATCATGTGATCCAGGTGTTACAATCCCCTCCCAATCATGTGATTCAGGTGTTCCAATCCCCTCCATGGACACAGGTGTATACAATCAAGCCCCTAGGCATGCAGACAGCTTCTACAAACATTGGTGAAAGAATGGGTCGCTCTCAGGAGCTCAGTGACTCCAAGCGTGGTCCCGTGATAGGTGGCCACCTGGGCAATAAGTCCATCCGTAACATTTCCTGGCTACTAAATATTCCACGCTCAACTGTTAGTGGGATTATAACAAAGTGGAAGCCACTGGGAACAACAGCCACTCAGCCACCAAGTGGTAGGCCATGTCACATGGCAGGGCGGGGTCAGCGCATGCTGAAGCGCACAGTGCGCAGAAGTCGCCAACTGTCTGCAGAGTCAATAGCTAAAGACCTCCAAACTTGGTGTGGCCTTCAGATGAGCCCAACAAAGTGCGTAGAGAGCTTCATGGAATGGCTTTCCATGGCTGAGCAGCTGCATCCAAGCCTTCCATCACCAAGTGCAATGCACTAGACTCTAGAGCAGAGGAGACGTGTTCTCTGGAGTGACCAATCACGCTTCTCTGTCTGGCAATCCGATAGACGTGTTTGGGTTTGGCGGTTGCCAGGAGAACAGTACTTGCCTGATTGCATGGTGCTGTCAGGGCTCCCGGGTATGACCAGAGGTGTGTGACTGACGCAGGGAAACGCAGACTTCAGATATGTTATAAACAATGTAATTTATTAACACTAACCATACAAACATAAACGCAGTGCAATACTAAAACATAACACAGTGCAAACAAACCCAACCACCCACAGATAACAGTACATACAATGCAAGCGTCGTCAGGCAGGCCAGGTCAATATCAGTCGGGCAGGTAGGTACAGGGGGAGCAAGCGGAGAATGGTCGGGGTCACAGGCCAGGTTCAGCAGGTAGCGGGCAGCGTGGTACAGAGGGTCAGGCAGAGGAGAATGGTCAGACAAGCCAGGGATCAGAGCAGGGTCAGCAGAGAATCAGACAGGAACAGAGAGCAGGAACAGGATACAGGGCCCAAGAGAAACACAACACCAAGGCAGAGTCTGCAGGTCTGAATGTCCCTTAAATACACCAGTATAATTAGTTCCAGGTGTTTGACTGGCTGCAAGGTTGAGTCTCTGATTGCTGGGAGCACCCGCTGGCCAGCCCTGGTACTGCAGCTCACAAGGCAGGTGAGTCCCACTATTGCTGGCCAGTCCATTCCTGACAGGTGCCAAGTGTAAAGTTTGGTGGAGGGGGGATTATGGTGTGGGGTTGTTTTTCCGGGGTTGGACTTGGCCCCCTAGTTCCAGTGAAGGGAACTCTTAAGGCAAAATTTTGGACAATTTCATGCTCCCAACTTTGTGGGAAGAGTTTGGGGATGGCCCCTTCCTGTTCCAACATGACTGCGCACCAGTGCACAAAGCAAGGTCCATAAAGACATGGAGGAGCCAGTTTGGGGTGGAGGAACTTGACTGTCCTGCACAGAGTCCTGACCTCAACCCCATAGAACACCTTTGGGATGAATTAGAGCAGAGACTGCGAGCCAGGCCTCCTCCCCCAACATCAGTGCCTGACCTGACAAATGTGCTTCTGGAAGAATGGTCCAACCTTCCCATAGACACCCTCCTAAACCTTGTGGACGGCCTTCCCAGAAGAGTTGAAGCTGTTATAGCTGCAAATGGCGGGGCCAACTCAATATTGAACCCTACGGACTAAGACTGGGATGCCATTAAAGTTCATGTGTGTGGAAAGGGCGGGGCCAACTCAATTTTGAACCCTACAGACTAAGACTGGGGGGCCATTAAAGGTCATGTGCGTGGAAAGGGCGGCGGCCCAATACTTGGGGCAATATAGTGTATATCGTCAATATATCGCATCAATCACAAAGATGGTACTGCATGAGAAAAACCCGCCACCGCTCAACGCAGGTACAGCTACTAAACTTCATTTTATACTGATGTACCAAACATTCCGGAGCTCAAAGGCGTCAGAGACCAATGGTCAGTTCCCATCTGTCGCTGGAATGGACAGCCAAACGTTTAATCTTCATACTCCAAGAAGACAATATACATTGCCTGTATTTCCCCCCGAAAGTCTCTAAAATGTGAACATTTTGCGTTCTCCGGTGCCAGCAATGTTATATAAAGCTCTGCGGTGCCTGTCTATAATAAACCCCCCCCCAGTGATTCCTCCCATTAGCTCATTAGGAAAGTGCATTACATAAACCTTTACTTTAGCTTATTATACTAAAACCTTTTACAGCTTTGAAATAAAGCAGGAGGTATAATTTAGCGTATTCTCTCCCCGTCATGTCAACATGCAGACTGTTTTTAGGCAGCTAACGATTGTCTTTATTCATTTACTTCGTCTTTTTTTTTTTTTTTTAACCAGTTAGCATGAAAGGTAATAACAGTAATGTTCTGCTATATTGCTGCGCACCCCAAAAAGGTTTTTTTAGCCAAAGGTGGGTGCGTTTTAAATCAATTTTAAAGAGAAATATATGCTTTTGGAAAAAAAAAACTAAACATTATACTCACCCAGGGCTGGGACATGGGGTGGGCAGGAGGAGCAGCTGCCCTGGGGACAGAGGAGCAGGGGGCCAAAGAACAGACGTAGGGTGGTAGGGCTGGGACATGGGGTGGGCAGGAGGGGCAGCTGCCCTGGGGACAGAGGAGCAGGGGGCCAAAGAATAGATGCAGGGTGGTAGGGCTGGGACATGGGGTGGGCAGGAGGGGCAGCTGCCCTGGGGACAGAGGAGCAGGGGGCCAAAGAATAGATGCAGGGTGGTAGGGCTGGGACATGGGGTGGGCAGGAGGGGCAGCTGCCCTGGGGACAGAGGAGCAGGGGGGCAAAGAATAGACGCAGGGTGGTAGGGCTGGGACATGGGGTGGGCAGGAGGGGCAGCTGCCCTGGGGAAAGAGGAGCAGGGGGCCAAAGAATAGACGCAGGGTGGTAGGGCTGGGACATGGGGTGGGCAGGAGGGGCAGCTGCCCTGGGGACAGAGGAGCAGGGGGCCAAAGAATAGATGCAGGGTGGTAAGGCTGGGACATGGGGTGGGCAGGAGGGGCAGCTGCTCTGGGGACAGAGGAGCAGGGGGCCAAAGAATAGACGCAGGGTGGTAGGGCTTGGACATGGGGTGGGCAGCTGCCCTGGGGACAGAGGAGCAGGGGGCCAAAGAATAGACGCAGGGTGGTAGGGCTTTGACATGGGGTGGGCAGGAGGGGCAGCTGCCCTGGGGACAGAGGAGCAGGGGGCCAAAGAATAGATGCAGGGTGGTAGGGCTTTGACATGGGGTGGGCAGGAGGGGCAGCTGCCCTGGGGACAGAGGAGCAGGGGGCCAAAGAATAGACGCAGGGTGGTAGGTTTGGGACATGGGGTGGGCAGGAGGGGCAGCTGCCCTGGGGAATACAGAGGAGCAGGGGGCCAAAGAATAGACGCAGGGTGGTAGGGCTGGGACATGGGGTGGGCAAGAGGGGCAGCTGCCCCGGGGACAGAGGAGCAGGGGGCCAAAGAATAGATGCAGGGTGGTAGGGCTGGGACATGGGGTGGGCAAGAGGGACAGCTGCCCTGGGGACAGAGGAGCAGGGGGCCAAAGGATAGACCCAGGGTGGTAGGTGCATGTATTAACCACAGGGGGGGGGGGGCGCAATTCTGGATCCTTGCCCTGGGCGCCGAATGACCCTGTCCTGGTACCGCACTCTCCAAGGTTGACACCGCATCGATCCAAAGCTGTATCTGTCTTCTGCCAGCTCTGTAAGGAGAACTGAGCAGTCAAACACTGCTGATCACTCCGTTCTCCCCCTCCACTGTGAGAGGAGCCAGGGCTGTCAGTCTCTGCTCTGAACTTTCAGCACTCACTGGAAGGGGTGGGAGGGGCTGGCTCAAGCTCTTGGAGGATTACTTAGATCACTGGTGTCAACTGGCGGCCCTCCAGCTGTTGCCAAACTACAAGTCCCATGAGGCATTGCAAGATTGACAGTTACAAGTGTGACTCCCAAAGGCAGAGGCATGATGGGACTTGTAGTTTGGCAACAGCTGGAGGGCCGCCAGTTTTACACCCATGCCTCAGAGGGTGAGCCAGGCTTCTGGGTGGATCCCGACAATATTGTCGGAATCTTTCCAGAGCCTGGACCAACTCTGTGACGTCAACCAACAGCAGGCTTCAGCCTTCCCCTCCTCCCCTCCGCACAGGATCGGCGGAAGTGACGTCAGGCAGAGAGAGAAGCACTTCCCGTTGTAGACATTCGGTGGAGAGAGGGAGGCTGGCTGGAGGTGGAGCGGCTGAGGGGATAAGCACCGCCTCTCCCGGGGACTTTGCGGGTGGCTGATCTGGGTGTCGGAGAGAAGACGGGTCCCTGCTAGGCACTTTTTATGTCTCCCTATGTGGAGCAATTCATTTATAGAACCCACCTGATCCACCGCAGTATCCAGAGGAGGGAGTTCCTGTCTCACAGGCTTCTACACCCACCCATCCCTTAAAGGGGACCTCTGGCTGACTGGATCCTTTACCACCCGGGATTTTCTGATGCACCACCAGGGGCGGACTGACCATTTGGAAACTCGGGCACTGCCCCCGAGGGCCCCATGAGATGCCCCTGGTACCTTTTTCATAGGCTTTTTTGAGTTTGGGCAAGGACACAGGTGCCCCATGATCCCCTATTGCCCGGGGGCCCCATGAGTTGTCAGTCCGCCCCTGTGCACCACCATTATCCAGAGGGAGGATTATCCTTGGCCTGGCTTATATCCGATTCCTAAAGGGGACCTCCACTGATTGATCTAATGCGTATTAACATTACGCATCTGGTGAGTGCGTATTCTTACCCCACTATTCTGGAGCACTGGCACTGAAGCATTGCTGCTATTCACCACATACCTGCACAGATTGTCACTTATGGACTAATACCGTTTAGTTGCATTTAATATATTTTACTCTATGTGGACTATTTAATTCGATATGTTAAGCGCTGCACTTTCTTATTTGATTGTTGGCTGATGTCACACTACCCTGCGCCCATTTTCAGCCTTCTTTGCACCGGTTGTCCATGGTTGCCATGGAGTGTCCACTGTCAGCCAATTGCTTGCTTTATAGCAAAGAGAAGGTAGCTGTATATGCCTGGTGTGGTTTTTGTGTCAGCTGTCGGCAGATGGGATTGAGAGCGGGCGATTGGAGTGTGTGTGGCATCAGTAGGCGTCCCAGTAGATATGAATCTGTGCCCTGCTGGTTGCTAGCCACGGAGCTGGGGATGTGTGTGTGGTGAAGATGCGCCCTCCCTACTGTTGCGCCCTGGGCGGCTGCCCTTCCTGCCCACCCCTTGTCCTGGCCCTGATTCCAGCCCCTTCATGATGGAAATACAAATCTTAATGCCTGAACCCAGCTTTACAACTTTGGAACGTGTTACTAAAGCTGTACATATTACTTCAATCCAGTGTATTGGTTTGTTGTTTTTCAGAATAAATTGGTGTTATTTTTTTATTTCAGATACTTATATAGCGCCATCAATTTATGCAGCACTCTACATATATATTGTACATTCACATCAGTCCCCGCCCCCGAGGAGCGTACAATCTAAGGTCCCTAACTCACATTCATACATACACATACTAGGGCCAATTTAGACAGGATCCAATTAACCTACCAGCATGTATTTTGGAGTGTGGGAGGAAACTGGAGGAAACCACACAGGCACAGGGAGAACATGCAAACTCTAGGCAGGTGGTGCCGTGGTTGGGATTCAAACCAACGACCCGAGTATTGCCAGGCAGGAGTGCTAACCACTTAGCCACTGTGCTGCCCGGTGTTAAGTGGAGTCTCAACGCCAAGAAGGTCTGCTTGTCTGTCAGGTTTTCTGAGAGTAATACGATTTATCAGATCACAGAGCTGGGTTTTTTTTTGTGCAATACGATGATTATCGAACATGATTGACACCGGCTTTCGATTCGTCCAGAAAGCATCTGCAACAGTAACCAGAAACCAGCTCTCAGATCTTTTTTTGCTGCACTCAAAAATATGAACTCCAGCATCAGCTGAGGTGCCACCCTTGATGGATCAGGGAAACTTGATACTAGAAGATAAACAGGGCGCACTCACCTGATGCGTGACCGTGATGATAGTAAGAAATGTATTGTAAAAACACAAACTGCATTACTCACCAGCCAAAAAGGTCGTAAAAACAGTCAACAGCTGCCAGTCATAGGCAACAATGGTCATCGGGTGAAGTCCTAATGCAGCGGTTCTCAACCTGTGGGTCACGACCAGGGGCGGACTGACCATTTGGAAACTCGGGCACTGCCCGAGGGCCTGGGGTCAGTAGGGGGCCCCATGAGATGCCCCTGGTACCTTTTTCATAGGCTTTTTTGAGCTTGGGCAAGGACACAGGGGCCCCATGATCTCCTATTGCCCGGGGGCCCCATGAGTTGTCAGTCCACCCCTGGTCGCAACCCCTTTGGGGGTCGAGTGACCCTTTTACGGAGGTCGCCTAAGACCATCGGAAAACACATATTTTTGATGGTCTTAGGAACCGAGACACCGCTCCTCTATCCGTCTCCAGGAGGGTCCGCCCACATGCAGATACGCCCACATTTCCCTGGACCGTGATGTGTGGGCAGGATGACATGCTGCCCCTGTCATCTGGCCACACCCCTGGAACCACTCGCGGGAACTGTAGCTCAGGAGAGGCACACAGGTGGCCAATCACCAGCGAGGAGGTGGAGCTTGGAAAGGAGGAGCCGGGCGAGTGAAGAGGAGAGCGGCCGGAGAAGGAAGACAGCTGACCAGTAAGTGTCTGAACCGTGCAGATGGTGCTGCTGCAGCCAGGTATGCTGGCTGTAGATGGGAGAGGGAGAGAGCCCAGGCTGGAGCAGGAGTCAGCAAGGTAAGTATCATTGGTGTCAGTAATACCAATGATGGGGCACTATTCCTCCCACTGATACCAATGATGGGGCACTATTCCTCCCACTGATACCAAGGATGGGGCACTATTCCCCTACTGATACCAATGATGGGGCACTATTCCCCCCACTGATACCAATGATGGGGCACTATTCCTCCCACTGATACCAATGATGGGGCACTATTCCTCCCACTGACTACCAATGATGGGGCACTATTCCTCCCACTGACACCAAGGATGGGGCACTATTCCTCCCACTGACACCAATGATGGGGCACTATTCCTCCCACTGATACCAATGATGGGGCACTATTCCTCCCACTGACACCAATGATGGGGCACTATTCCTCCCCCACTGACACCAATGATGGGGCACTATTCCTCCCCCCACTGACACCAACGATGGGGCGCTATTCCTTCCATTGAGACCAATGATGGGGCACTATTCCCCCCCCACTGACACCAATGATGGGGCACTATCCCCACCCCACACTGACATCAATGATGGGGCACTACCCCCCCCCACTGACACCAATGATGGGGCACTATTCCCCCCCACACTGACATCAATGATGGGGCACTACCCTCCCCCACTGACACCGGTGATGTGGCACTATTCCTCCCACTGACACCAATGATGGGGCACTATTCCCCCCCACACTGACTGACATCAATGATGGGGCACTACCCCCCCCCCCCACTGACACAAATGATGTGGCACTATTCCTCCCACTGACACCATTGATGGGGCACTATTCCTTCCACTAACACCAATGATGGGGCACTATTCCTCCCACCCACACTGACACCAATGATGGGGCACTATTCCTTCTACTGACACTAATGATGGGGCACTATTCCCCCCCCACACTGACATCAATGATGGGGCACTACCCCCCCCCCCACTGACACAAATGATGTGGCACTATTCCTCTCACTGACACTAATGATGTGGCACTATTCCTCCCACTGACACCAATGATGGGGCACTATTCCTCCCACTGACACCATTGATGGGCACTATTCCTCTCACTGACACTAATGATGTGGCACTATTCCTCCCACTGACACCAATGATGGGACACTAATCCTCTCACTGACACCAATGATGGGGCACTATTCCTCCCACTGACACCAATGATGGGGCACTATTCCTCCCACTGACACCAATGATGGGGCACTATTCCTCCCACTGATACCCAATGATGGAGCACTAATCCTCTCACTGACACTAATGATGTGGCACTATTCCTCCCACTGACACCAATGATGGGACACTAATCCTCTCACTGACACCAATGATGGAGCACTAATCCTCTCACTGACACCAATGATGGGGCACTATTCCTCCCACTGACACCAATGATGGGGCACTATTCCTCCCACTGATACCAATGATGGGGCACTATTCCTCCCACTGATACCAATGATGGAGCACTAATCCTCTCACTGACACCAATGATGGGGCACTATTCCTCCCACTGATACCAATGATGGGGCACTAATCCTCTCACTGACACCAATGATGGGGCACTATTCCTCCCACTGATACCAATGATGGGGCACTATTCCTCTCACTGACACCAATGATGTGGCACTATTCCTCCCACTGACACTAATGATGGGACACTATTCCTCCCACTGACACCAATGATGGGGCACTATTCCTTCCACTGACACCAATGATGGGGCACTATTCCTCCCACTGCAAATTACAGTTATGAAGTAGCAACAAAAATAATTTTATGGTTGGGGGTCACCACATGAGGAACTGTATTAAAGGGTGAAGGCATTAGGAAGGTTGAGAACCACTGTCTAACGCGTTTCGGGAGTCGAACTCCTTTCCTCAGAGCATATATAGTTACATAGTTATTCTGGTTGAAAAAAGACAAAAGTCCATCCAGTTCAATCATAAAAAAAAAAAAAGTTATAATCCGACACCCACAGTTGATCCAGAGGAATAGATAAAAACATAACGCATAAGAATGATTTATATATATGAGACAAAGTAATTATGAGTGGCTGGGGCAGGGGTAGGCAACCTGCGGCTCTCCAGCTGTTGCAGGACTACAAGTTCCATCATGCCTGTGCAAGTCACAGCTGTAACTGTCAGTTTTGCAATGCCTCATGGGAAATGTAGTTCCACAACAGCTGGAGAGCCGCAGATTGCCTACCCCTGGGCTGGGGTCTCATTATCACTTCGTCTTATATACAGTGGGGCAAAAAAGTATTTAGTCCCACCAATTGTACAAGTTCTCCCACTTACAAAGATGAGAGAGGCCTGGAATTGGCATCATAGGGAGACCTCAACTATGAGAGACAAAATGAGAAAACAAATCCAGACAATCACATTGGCTGATCTGGAAAGAATTTATTTGCAAATTATGGTGGAAAATAAGTATTTGGTCACCTACAAACAAGCAAGATTTCTGGCTCTCACAGACCTGGACCTTCTTCTTTAAGAGGCTCCTCTGTCCTGCACTCATTACCTGTATCAATGGCACCTGTTTGAACTTGTTATCAGTATAAAAGACACCCTGTCCACAACCTCAAACAGTCACACTCCAAACTCCACTATGGGGAAGACCAAAGAGCTGTCGAAGGACACCAGAAACAAAATTGTAGACCTGCACCAGGCTGGGAAGACTGAATCTGCAATAGGCAAGCAGCTTGGTGTGAACAAATCAACTGTGGGAGCAATAATTAGAAAATGGAAGACATACAAGACCACTGATAATCTCCCTCGATCTGGGGCTCCACGCAAGATCTCACCCCGTGGGGTCAAAATGATCACAAGAACGGTGAGCAAAAATCCCAGGACCACACGGGGGGACCTAGTGAATGACCTGCAGAGAGCTGGGACCAACGTAACAAAGGCTACCATCAGTAACACACTACGCCCGCCAGGGACTCAGATCCTGCAGTGCCAGACGTGGCCCCCTGCTTAAGCCAGTACATGTCCGGGGCCCGTCTGAAGTTTGTAGAGAGCATTTGGATGATCCAGAAGAGGATTGGGAGAATGTCATATGGTCAGATGGAACCAAAATAGAACTGTTTGGTAGAAACACAACTCGTCGTGTTTGGAGGAGAGAGAATGCTGAGTTGCATCCAAAGAACACCATACCTACTGTGAAGCATGGGGGTGGCAACATCATGCTTTGGGGCTGTTTCTCCGCAAAGGGACCAGGACGACTGATCCATGTACAGGACAGAATGAATGGGGCCATGTATCGTGAGATTTTGAGTGCAAACCTCCTTCCATCAGCAAGGGCATTGAAGATGAAACGTGGCTGGGTCTTCCAACATGGCAATGATCCCAAACATACCGCCCGGGCAACGAAGGAGTGGCTTCGTAAGAAGCATTTCGAGGTCCTGGAGTGGCCTAGCCAGTCTCCAGATCTCAACCCCATAGAAAACCTTTGGAGGAAGTTGAAAGTCCGTGTTGCCCAGCGACAGCCCCAAAACATCACTGCTCTGGAGGAGATCTGCATGGAGGATGGGCCAACATACCAGCAACAGTGTGTGCCAACCTTGTGAAGACTTCCAGGAAACGTCTGACCTCTGTCATTGCCAACAAAGGATATATAACAAAGTATTGACATGAACTTTTCATATTCACCAAATACTTATTTTCCACCATAATTTGCAAATAAATTCTTTCCAGATCAGCCAATGAGATTGTCTGGCTTTGTTTTCTCATTTTGTCTCTCATAGTTGAGGTCTCCCTATGATGCCAATTACAGGCCTCTCTCATCTCTGTAAGTGGGAGAACTTGTACAACTGGTGGGACTAAATACTTTTTTGCCCCACTGTATATATATAAATCATTCTTATGTATTATGTTTTTATCTGTTGATCCGAAGAGTGGCATTCAACTCCTGAAACGCGTTAGCACTTCACCCGAGGACCATTGTTGCCTATGACTGGCACTTTTGACTCCTTGTCTCTGTTTTTACGACCTTTTTGGCTGGTGAGTATGCATTTGTATTTTTACATTTTTTACTATCGCGGTCATGCACGAGGAGAGTGCGCCCTGCTTTGTTCTTTTCTGCCAGAAAGCATCTGCATCCAGGGCTCTTTTTTTAATATCGCACTAACCTCTTGAGAGCCTCTGATTTTGGGTCCCTCTATATTCTTGCACAGCCAGGCAACGTGCATTTTCCACTCTTGCATCCAAAGTCAGCAGACAGTCCATGAGCTTGGTTTTGTTGTTTTATTAGGAGTCAAACAACTTGGATAGGGTCTGGGGGGATAGGGGATGCCCGGTGGGACTGAGACAACTTGGAGGACAAGCTTCCAATGTACAAAAGGCAGAAACATTCGATCTTGGACTTTCTACTCCCTCTGAAGTGGCTCTTGTCTCTTCACGGATCAGCACACAGTCCTAAGAGCACTCAGTCCCCTTTACATGAACCCTCTTCAGACCCCAGATGAAAATCTCCTCATCCACCTGACTGTCATGAAGAGAATTGCAGGGCAGGGGATTCCGAGACACATAAGAATGCTGTGTCAGGGAGAACTAGTTGGGTCTTGCACCTGACTTCCCTCTCCCTTGTAGGCCCAGGGGGTGTAGAGGTCCTCACACCAGGGCGGACTGACCATTCGGACACTCGGGCACTGCACTGCACAGTAGGGGGCCCCATGAGATGCCCCTGGTACCTTTCATAGGCTTTTTTTGGGAGTGGTTTAAATGTGGGTGAGGACACAGGAACCCCATGATCCCCTATTGTCCGGGGGCCCCATAAGTTTGTCAGTCCGCCCCTGCCTCACACTGTCCTGTTCCTGTAGCTGTAAAGGTGAAGCTGCTTTCAGGCCTTACGGCTGGGCTGGCTTCTTCCCTGCTGACAGTCTGTCCTTTCCTGTAGACCGTAGAAGAGTCTCTCTTTCCAGCTCCCAGCCTGTAGGTAGACCTCCTCCCCTGCTGCCCCCTCTCAGGTTCCACACCAGCAGCACTTCATCACTCCGTATTCCACTCGACTCACCTGCTGGTCAGGCTCTCTCATATTTTTTGGGCTGATCTCCCATACTGGTAGGCTTTCTTACTGGGATTCCCATAAATATGCAGATCAGCCTCTGCCCACTGGCTTCTATAAACCTCTCCAAGTTTATAGAGCAGGGGGAGGTACCAGACGACTGACCTGTAGAGCCCTCCAGCCCTATCCTAGAGGAACCTTGCTGACTCACACCCAGGTTTCTAGCAAGCTTCTAACTATACACAAAAAAACTATCTACACTTCATTTCTTTACAGGTATTATCATTACATTTGATAGATTTATTTCCGATTTACTGTATGTTAAAGTAGAGCTTTTCTTAGTGAATGTAAGCAATCAGCATACTATATCCTGCCTCCAGAGTGTTTAATAATAGGAGGTCATGGAGGAAGAGGAGGAAGGGAGGGGCGTGTCATTTACCGCGGTGTATACACCCACATGTGTGACTCTATAGTCACATGGGCTGAACAGATAGGAAAAAGGAGAAAATTAAGAGCTTAGAAGGCAACGGAAATGTGAGCACGCTCAGTAGAGTACACTAGCTGGTCTACACAATCTCAGTG